AAAAACGAAAAAAAAAACGAGAAAAAAAAAAATCAACAAAAAAAAAACACAAAATGGTAATTGATTTTCAATTCTTGTTCAATTCTTTAATATTTATGTTTTGTATTAATAACTAACTATTGTTTTTTTACAGTTTCGTAGACGATTTTCTGGTTCCGGAGGATTGTTAGCGGGTTCTTCTGGAGCACCGCCACCCCCGCCACCACCGCCTTCTCGTCTTTCGGAACCGGTGGACGCTCCTCCACTTTTTCCAGAGTGTGATATAACTCTGGAGGAGGTAGAAGAAATTTTAAATTCCTTCGACACTCGCGAGGTGCCGCTAATCGATCCCGAACTTGACGGGGCGTTATGGTAATTTATAAATTAAATTATTTCAATATTTATTTTAAATTATATTATTAGTTAATATTAATAAATTGTTATTATAATTAGGTTCGGGGTTAACGATAAAGATTTGAGGAAAAAATTTACAGCAATAATAACGTCAAATTTTCCTCAACTCTACTACTGTTGGACGGTGGTACCGGACAACATCAAACGTTCTTGGTGGCATTCGTTCATCGTAAGAGGAAATTTTAAATTCCTTCGACACTCGCGAGGTGCCGCTAATCGATCCCGAACTAGACGGGGCGTTATGGTAATTAATTTATAAATTAAATTATTTCAATATTTATTTTAAATTATATTATTAGTTAATATTAATAAATTGTTATTATAATTAGGTTCGGGGTTAACGATAAAGATTTGAGGAAAAAATTTACAGCAATAATAACGTCAAATTTTCCTCAACTCTACTACTGTTGGACGGTGGTACCGGACAACATCAAACGTTCTTGGTGGCATTCGTTCATCGTAAGTTATATTTTTAAAATTTTATTTAAATAAAATAAATAATCACTAACTCTAATTTCTTTTAAAGCAATCTTTTCGGTGGAAAAAAAAGCACACCGATAAAGTTTACAAAGAGTTCAACCAGCTGGGTATGCAGCGGTTGAAACAAATGATGAACAATGCCAAACGTCGTCATCAGCTGCATGGACTGCCACCGGAATGGGCAACAAATGACTTGTACCAGCAGCTTCTTTCGCATTGGAACTCAGACCATTTCAAGAACAAGAGTTCCAAGGCGAAACAAAGTCGTCTGTCCCAAAAATTCGAGGGTGATGGGCCTCATCGTCATACCTCCGGTGCTAAATCATTCAAGAAGAGGCAAAAAGAGATGGTATTTACTTAAACTTTAATTTAATTTTTAATTAGTTTTTTAATATTAGATTTTTTATTATGTTAATAATATATATATATATATATAGGAAAAAGAAATGGGGAGAACGCCATCAATCGTAGAGTTGGTCGCTCGGACTCACAAAAAGTCTGATGGGACATATGTCGATCCCCGTGCGGAACGAGTTGTAACCACGGTAACTCAACGACTCACCCAACTCTTGCAAAATGTTGGCGATTCAGCGGGTTCTTCATCCGGTCTCTCTGCATCGGACCAAGATCGTTGTTATGTGGAGGTAAAACTTAAAATAATTCATTTTTAAATATTATATTTTAATATTTTATTTCAATTTTAAATATTTTTTTTATTTTTCAGTCGGTCTCTCCAAATAAGGGCCGCATCTATGGATTAGGAGGATTGCAGCGAGATTTGTTCGATGATTTCGGTGCAGCAATTCCTCCTGGCATGCAGAGTGATCTCGAACAACAACGACGGATCGAGACACTCGAGCAACAACTTGCGGCGACGAGGCAACAAGTGACTAACCTCGAACAAATCGTTGAGCTTATGCGGGGTGATCGACCACTCCACAATACGCCGCCAAGCTCGGGAGCAGAAACAACGGCACGTAATCTCGGGACTAGCGAAGACGAAGAAACCCGTAGTGCCAATTAATTATTATTAGTGAAACTATTTTATATTTTTTTATTTTTAAATATTTATTTTATTTTTTTATTTATTTTTTTGTGTTTTCCAACGGTTATTCCAACGGATCGCCGTTGGAAATAATTTTAAATTCCAACGGACGGCCGTTGTAAATACCGTTGTAACATTTCGACGGCGTTTCCAACGGATATTCTAACGGATATCCGTGGCAAATACCGTTGTAAATCCGTTGGAAAATTTCTAACGGATATTCTAACGGTCCCGTCGGAAAATAGCCACGGATGTCCGTTGGAATTTCCGTTGATATATCCCGACGAACAAATCCGTTGGAATTCCGTTGAAAATATACCACGGAAAAACCGTTGGAAATCCGTTGAAATATTCCAACGGATGAGGGCATTGGAATTCCGTTTGAAATTTGCCACGGAATTCCAACGGACACCGATTTCTAACGACGAAATTCCAACGGATATTATCAAGGTTTATTTGTTGTAAAATTACAAATATGACTCATAGGAAAGCATTTGTGTAAGCTAAATTGGGCTCTCTAGTTACGATTAAAAGATTAAAGCCCATAAATGGAGGAGCCCACGCATACTTAGTTAAAAAATGTGGCTGCTGGGATTCGAGTTAATTAACTTGATTTGGATGTGTAAAAGGCTAAATTTTATATCTAAAAAACAATATATGTAAAGGTTTGTAACCATTGATATAACGTATAATAATAAGATGTAATAAAGAAGAGATAATAAGTATAATCTCCTTAGAAGATGGGGATTTGTTGTATGTAAACTCTATGTATCTATACATGAATAAATACCCATCAAAAGGTCACATTTTTTTAAAATGTTTTCATAATTGCCGTGTTAGGTGAAGTGCATGCTCCACTAACCCACCCTTTCACCAAGAACAATCATTTGCACATTTAAAAAAAAAAAATAAACAGGAAGCACAAATCTTTACTTGTATAGATATCGAGATTTGTAAGAAGAAAGAAAGAAAAAGAAAAGAAAACCCATTAGCACAAAATGGAAAGAACCCTCATCGCCGTAATCTTTCTCGCAACGACAACACTCGCGTGCCTTTCACGCGCCGCCGTGGTGACACTGAGGAACGGGGAAGCGTCGACATGCAACGGCTCGGTGGCCGAGTGCGGAAAAGAAGAGGTGGAGGAGATGGAGATGGAGTCGTGGATAAGCCAGAGGATGATGGAGGAGCAAAGGACGATTTCGTACGGAGCTCTGAAGAGGAACCAGCCAGCTTGCGGCGGCGACGGTGCCGGCGGCGGCCAACGCGGCGATTCCTACTCCGGAAGTTGTCTTCCTCCGCCGTCGAATCCACACAGCCGTGGCTGTTCCAAGTATTACCGTTGCAGGTCCGATTCTTGATGAATCTTGAAGAGGGACGAAATGAATGGAGTGCGCTTTTTTTTTTGTTAATTTGTGTTCGTGTTTGTAATTGCGGGTTGATGTTAAATCTTGGGTTCGGAACCTAAACAGATTAAAAGATGATAATGTCTTTTGTTAATCAAGCTATAATCTCTCTTGCAGCAAAAAGAGAACACTTCAATGACGGATGATATCGTTTGATCTCTCGTTAGAACAATATAAAAATCAAACCCAATGTAAAAATGGAATAGATATAATTTCTCCACAAGTCCAAAAATTGGATCCCAAAGATTACCGAACCAAAAACCGAAATGGTCATTTGCACCAGCACTGCAAGTTTGGGGTTAATTTGTCATGAACAAAAAGTTTGGGCCCGTATTGAAAATTTTAGAAGATATCAAGATTATGATTTTTTTGGGGGGCATGGCCCAAAAATCCAAGTAAGGCAGCTGCCGGGCATCTCATCTCAATTCAATATCGAAAAATATGACACAGATTTAAAAGATTGAATTACCCTAAATGAATATTTGAGATGAGATCCATTAGAGCAAGAAAGAAAGAATAGTGAATGGAACATAACAAAAAAGTGGTTATGACACAAGGAAGCATCATATCCTAAGACTGTCTTATAAGGCAAACCAAACATGGTGGTGATGAGTTTGAGAACCAGAGGTCTCATGTAATGTAAGGCCACCATGATTCAAACTCCTAACACTTTTTCCAGAGGCAATCCACAGATTACCATACGATGAATCAGACTGGTAAGCGGGACGGATTTTTTTCGATAGCAAAGCAACGGATTTTCCATGTGTATAGGTTTAACAACAGGAATTGGGGCATAGAACTTGGTTCACTTATACGAAAGCTTCCATACCTCTCTAACGTTGGACGAACCATCTGTGATTTCAGACACCAATGTTGAAGCAAGAACACCTACACAAGCGGAAAAAAAAAGATACCGGTAAGTAAGTGCATCGATAAGTACTTGATTCGATCATGGATAACACACTCGACATGTCGGTTAACGTAATTAGACGAATAATGGGAATACCTCCAAAGTGTAGAAGATCTCGACTTACCACTCGACATGTCGGTTAACGTAATTAGACGAATAATGGGAATACCTCCAAAGTGTAGAAGATCTCGACTTACCGTCTCTCTCTATCATAGATAGGAACTGCCTTGTCCCTCCACCAACCCCGAAATAGTATTTCTTTGCAGCCATGTATACTACGCCATTAGGACAAGCCAAACACTGCCAGAATCAAAAATCACGAGTTCAAGCTCCATAATTTTTCGTTATTATAAAACAGTTTGAAAATATTGACGGATACTGTGTATGAGCAGAAGCAAGAGTACCTTTTTAATCAGCCCATATAGACTTTGCTGACCTGAGATAGAATAAATTGTCTCGGCCATTAGAATAATGTCGTAACCAGAAGCTTTTCCACCATTGATATTGTTCTCGCCATCATTTATGTGTGGAAGAAGCTGATGAACTGCACTCCAGTCCCCTGAGAAGAACCGTACCTCTGAGCTGCCACTTGTTGAGGCGGATGCCGACTTTTCGGACAGATTAGCATTCAAATTTGGAATGGTGAGACATCGCAGGACCTCGGCATTGAAGTCCTGAAAATGGACAGCATCTGCATTCTAACAGAGAAAACCAATAAGTTTAAAGAATGTTGAATGATGATTATACATGGACTTTGGCAACATAATATAGACTGAAAATTATTGATTCACCTTAAGGCAGGAATAGATTCCAGGAAGTCCATGACCACATCCAAGCTGAAATCAAATGTTCAAGAATTTAGGTGTAGTGAAACGAAGAACATGGCATATCATTTGGATAATCAACACCAATTTCATGCGTTTCAATTCTAAAAACTAAGAGTTATCCACGTGCAGGGAATTTCGGTTGAGAATATCTCAGCTGGTGTTTAGATCCATGTTAAGAGTAACCACAATGAGGCTTCTACAAGTTGGAAGTTAGCAATACATATTTAGCTTCAAAACCATTTTCCTTTCACAACAAAGTACAAAACAATCCTTAATAGATACTATATTAAGAATAATTTTCCTGCTACTTTTGTATTTTCTCGTAAAAAATCTCAAATCTCAACAAAGTCCTAGCTGTTTGATGTTAGCGCACATCAAATATCGTCTAGCACATGGAGAACAACCCTTTCTTTTTCTTCTCAATGGATCAATAAAACAATCTACCGCTTAGATAATCAAGCCGAGGGAATAAAGAAACTAACCTCGAGAACCCGCTTTCCAGAAAATGGTAAGTTCCCATTATGAACCTCTTTCTCAAGAATTTTAACAAGATCAATTGATCCTTCCCAAAGCTTCAGACCACCTATGTCAAACAAAACAATATGAATAACCAGAGAGAGAAGACACATCAACCGATCTTTTGCCATGGAAATCATTAGAGAAAGGTCAGTTTACCTTCATACACTCCAGGAACCAAATCTGAATTAGGCAACCCGAAAACGTCTTTAGTGTTCACACGACCCTAGAAAACGAAAGCATTACATTGAATAATTCTCTTCCATTATTGCCACCATGATTCACATTTTCGAAGATTGTTCAAAGGGTCACACAACGATTTCTCAGGATGCAAATGTTGCTGTCATCTAAGCTAAATCCAAAGCAGAAGCCACACTCAATTCAAGCCCACAACAAAGAATTTCAATTCCCCCCCCCCCCCCCTTACCAAAAAGAAGCTTACCTTCAACAAAGTGAGTTCTCCAATGGCCACCTTCTCCACAGCGAATTTGACAGAGGAAGAGACATGCTGCGACGAAGATCAAGAGATTAATCCCTAAATTAAATACAACAACCAAACGAATTAAAGGAGATATGAACTAGAATCGGAGATGTTGACGACGATACCTCGGAGGACAAGACTTCGACGGGAGGAGGCGGCAAAGGACGAGGTGGTTCTGGTGAATCGAGAAACCCTAGCCCTAGACTTGAACCATTAGAGGAGTTATCATTTGAAGATGAGAACAACTGAAACGTTGGGTTCGTCGCCATTGACAGAGCTTGAGCTTTGGCGGCAGCGGCGAAAGTGCCAGAGCACTGAAAGGGAACTTATTTTATTTCTCCCCGTCGGGAGATTCCATCTTCGAACCGGTCGACATCCGGTTCGATTACATACCGTAAATTAAATATCTTCCAAATCGGTGGGTTTAAACGATTAACCAAACGGTTCGAGCGGTTAAAGAAATTTTCTATAGATATTGGAACGGTGATTTTTATTTTTTATTTCCTTTTAAATTATATTTTAATTTTTTCGTCTAACCGGATATAGATTTCCAAGGATCAGACATAATCTCTAAACCAATCACAAACCGGAATAAAATAATAACCGAATCCAATCGGGAACCAAACCGGGAGACAATTCTCCAACTACTTTTTACCAGCTCCAGTTCCCACCTATCTCTCTTTCATTCATCATCGCCATTGTTTTCGCCGAGATCCGTCCATGGACGACGGAGCTCTAGCTATCTCTTCCGCTTCTGGAGGAGGAGGAGGACCGGCGCCGTTCCTTCTGAAGACGTATGAGATGGTGGATGATTCGTCGACGGACGAGATCGTTTCGTGGAGCGCCAACAAGAACAGCTTCATCGTCTGGAACCATCCGGAGTTCGCTCGCCTCCTTCTCCCGACCTACTTCAAGCACAACAACTTTTCTTCCTTCATTCGTCAGCTCAATACATATGTGAGTCTTCGGATTCAATGCTCCGTGAAATTCTTATCTTGCAGTTTAGGGTGATGATTTCTCCACTTCGTTGCGGTAATTCGAACGAAATTTTTTGTCTGTTACTGGAATTGAGGTTGGGAATTAGTAGTATATTCCGGATTTTTCCGAGCCGGGAAAGGTTTAGAACAGATTATGAGTGGTTTCGTTATGAGAAACTGATTGTAGTATCTCTCATTTGTTGAAAATTTAAATTTTCTGCTCTCAAATCATTTGATATATCAAGCTTCTCCAGCTGAGTAATCGTACTATGGAACAAGGGAATGGGTAAAATTGTCGATCTTATGGGTATTATAGATTGCATCCTCTTTCTATAAATGGGAAGGATAAAGGAAAGCTTAAAGGAGATATCTTGGGATCGGCGGTAGTGAAAAGTGTCCCTTAAGTGCGTAATTCTGTTTACAAAATGAAATTTAACTCTTAGTTAGCTTTTAGTTTCTCTTTTGTGATTTCGTTATTCATTACAAGTTTATAACAGAGAGAGTCCTGCTTGTAAAACTCCCCCCCCCCCTTCCTGGGCTTACATTTTGTGGTCTTCAATAACAAAGTTTTGTTTTGTTGTCATATGTTGATAGGGATTCCGAAAGATTGATCCTGAGAGGTGGGAATTTGCTAATGAATGTTTTGTCAAGGATCAGAAGCAGCTGCTGAAGAATCTACACCGAAGAAAACCTATTCACAGCCACAGTCAGCCACCCACTTCCATAATGGACCAAGAAAGAGCAGCATTGAAAGAAGAAATGGATAAGCTCTCTTGTGAAAAAGTTGCTATAGAAGCAAAGCTTTTGAAGTCAAAACAGCAGAAGTCAACAGCAAAGCTTCAGTTGGAAGAGCTGACCCAGCAGGTAGATGATATGGAGAAGAGGCAGGAGAATTTGCTGAATTTCTTAGAAAAGGCCATCCAAGATCCTATATTTATTGAAAAATTTGCCTGTAAAGTTGAGCAATTGGACATCTCAGCTTACAACAAAAAGCGAAGAGTCCCTCAAGCTGAGCATTCAAAGCCACAGTCAGAAAATTCCCATTTGGATAATAGCAGTAATAGCTCGAGGCCCGAGCTTGAGAGTATTTTCCACCAAAGTTTCTCAAATAAATTACAGTTAGAGCTCTCCCCGGCTGTTTCAGACATTAACTTGGTGTCACATAGTATACAAAGTTCCAACGACGGAGGGAGCCCGAAGGGGAGACTATCAGGAGGAGATCCGAAAGGTGCTCAAACAAGAACAGAAGGCCTGTTATTTGCACCTGAAGCACCTGAGCTTGCAGATACCGGGTCATGCCCAAGAAGATTACTATTAAATGAGAATACACAAGCAGAGACATTGCCACTGAGGTTAACTTCTCCAGAGGAAACTGATGGTGACTTTCCATGCCATTTAAATCTAACCCTGGCATCTGCTCCATTACCCGCCGCCAAGACAGCTCCATTGATAACAAAGGCAACTCAGAAAAGTCAGGATGTTGGAAGATTTCCTGAGTTCAACTTCGAGTCAAGAGAATCAAACGCAAGTGCGAAGAACACAGCCGCACAGGAAGCAGCTACTGGAAAGCAAGCAACTGTGGCAGCCTCCCCAGCTAGAGTGAATGATGTGTTCTGGGAGCAGTTCCTAACTGAAAGACCAGGTTCCTTGGATAACGAAGAGGCGAGTTCCACTTATAGGGCAAACCCACGTGAAGAGCAAGAAGATGGAAGAACCGGCCAAATGATGTCTCGAAATACAAGGAGTATCGAGCAGCTGACCCTTTAAGTACCCAGATAGTATCAACACATCTGCCAACAAGGTTCTCAAAATCTCATATCTTACCCTTGCTGTCCATTATTTTTTGCATATCATTCGGGCTACTCACTTTTTTCTTTATGGTTTTTATATATTTTACTCATGTTGAATTCATATAATGGCAGTGAAACTAAGCAACTTGTGTTTTACTCCCATTCAGAAATGTACCTGTAATGCTGATTCGATTTAGACTTTATCCATTTGGTTACTCAGGTCACATTGTCCAAGTCCAAGGGCTCGTCTTCAACCTTTTAGTCTCCTTTTTCAGCCACTCCCGAGTAAAAGTAAATGCATAGCCGAGTGATACAGATATACATAGTACAAGAAGCTGTTCTCATTACACTGTGTAAGTTGTTATTCGCCTGCCTCTCTCGAGCCTTCCCTTACTAGATCTCTTCATACATATAGTTGGTGTAGAATTGATTCCACGGTCTGAATTATATTATCTTTGCATGCAACTTGTATTGTATGATGTGTGTATTGAATAAGCAGCTTTTATTCCTCTGACACACAATTCTGATTAGGGTAAAGCCCTTTACCAAAAGTTTTGGAGGAGGAATCCGAATCTTGAATCTTGAGATGCTTTGAAGAAACTGATATTGTAGAGACCCTTTATGTCAGAACTTGTAACCAGATGGCCAGTTCTCGATCTTTTCAAAATCTTTTATGGGAAAAGAGAGTCAAGTATTTCATTAGTTGAAATATGATATGACATTTTCAATAAATCTGTAGTGCGAATAAATGGTTGGATTTTGATTTGTTTGGTCACCTGGAATTCAGCTATAAGGAAGGAATGTGACTTTTGGGGGTTTGTGGTGGTGTTGGGTTTTCAATGATTGTTTTTTTAATCTCCAGAAAGTTGCATTTGAATTGAATCTAAAATTGAAGATTTATTTTAATTTGTATAGTTTTTTAAAAAATTTAAAATTCTGGATCCCAAAATAACCAAACCTGAGGCCCGAAATGTGGCAATAGCCGATTTTTCTCTCTTGCGTTATGATGTTTTATCAAACATTTTTGGGTTCTTAAAACTAATCTGTCATTAATTACCATGTAAAAAAAAATCTTGAGTCACTATCATTAAAGACTAATTTTACCGTTCAAACCAAAGACCGAACCGGACCGAACCGGTAAAATCAATGAACGTGGACCGGCTGCGTGCTTGCATTCATGTCTCTGTCTCACTACTCACACTACTCCAAATTCACCGTTGTTTTCTCTCATCGCTTCCACTCCACCAAACTAAACCCAGATCTTTACCTGCAAATTCCGACAGCGAGATGTTGAAATCCGTAGCTCTCTTTTGCTTAGCGATACTTTTCCTGCATACCCACTTCTTCGATTCCGTCGCCGTCGCGGTTTCTCGGGCGAACAACGGCGAGATCGACGCAATGCTAAGCGGGAGCGGCGGCGTCGGAGAGTCGTCGATGGAGGAAGAGGAGGAGATGATGCCGTCGGAGATCAGCCGGAGAGTGATGATGATGCAGAGGCGGTACATAAGCTACGAAACCCTAAGGAGGGACATGGTCCCCTGTCAGAAGCCAGGTGCTTCGTACTACGATTGTCGCTCAGGGCAAGCGAATTCTTACAGCAAAGGCTGCGAGATCATTACCAGATGTGCTAGAGACACCAGCGAAACCAGAACCTGAACAAAATTTCTCAGAGTTGAGAATTCAGAGGCAATGTATTTGAAGAGAAAAAGGCAAGTAAATTTTGTATTTTTGTTGTATTGTGTTGTGTGGTTAAGGTTTCATGGAGCGTCTGTAGGATTCATGGTAATGTTCCATATATAGATACTGTATGACATAAATAGCTATATGTAACTTGGAACTGCTTGTTCATCAATATCAAATGATTGAGATCTGTGATATACATTACCTTTCTGAGAGTAGATTGATGAGAGTGCTAATTGTGGAAATTGTTAGATGGAGTTGGGATTTGCCCGTTTCGGGTTCTTGTGAACTAATTTGGTAGCTTTTCATTGGGATGGCAGTGAATGATTTCATGGGTTCTTTATAGTAAAGAGGATGGATTTCTTGACACGGCTATAGATCTATCTATGCTCCCTGTCTCAACCGTGTAGAGAACTAGTTCATCAAGCTGGGGATTAAACTAGAAGACCAATCTAGCATTTTGATTTGTATGTAAACTTGTGTATCAGTATGCATATAGCTAGGCCGGGATCAAGCTTTTGCCGATTCCGGGTTTGTGTATATATAATGTGTAGCAATGATGTACGTCGGTTTTAAGAAGTTATAGGTAGGGTTTGGTTTCTGGCACTAGGAGGACTGAAGGAAGAAACTTTGTGGAAAGCTGAAGTTTTCCGGGCATGAATGTTTCAAGAACCCGACATTTTGCGGGGAGTTGTCGATGTTATTGTTGGTACCAAGAGTATAGGAGGAATCTGACAGATGATTTCACGGTGTCTCTTGTTATAGTTGTGGGATTTAGTTGTTTGTGGAGGTTGAATCAGTTTCTTAAAGGAAAGGGACACTGGGATGGAGTAGTAAAAGGGGAGAATGAAGGACAATGTCTCCCTCCATTTGAGTCCATATGCTTCTTAGGCTAAAAAGAAGATTCCTTTATGGAGAATAATAGTATTTTCTTTGGTTAAGATTTGATTTCTTGTACAGAACTTAGGAGAAGGGGTGGTTTCTTGATATATATGTGTGTCCATATATATATATATATATGGCAGTGATTGCAGAAAGAGCCATACCTTCTCCCGCACTAATCTACTGAATTCTTTGATCTTCACTATCCATTGTTCATACAGAATTCAATCTGAAAAATTGAATCGTCGTCATCTACCGGCTTGGTCTCTTTGTAAACTCTAGCTGCAAACAGGGTTGGTTGTTTCTGAGCGTTATTTCATGGGTGGTTTTGTTAGGATGGACGTTTTGGGATTCGGTTCCGAATTTTAACTGTTCGGTTTGGAAACGATTTATTCGGTATTCTAAAATTTGTACCAAATTAGTAGCATATATTATTTGGTTCGGTTCGGGTTTCGGTATGGTTCAGTTTTGGTTTTTGTAAAAAAATGTAGATTTTTTTTATGAAAATTTTGGTTTTTCAGAAATTTTATAAAGTTTGGTTCGATTTGGTTTCGAAAAATTCGGTTCTATAAAAAAATATACCGTTCAGAAGTTTTGAATGATATAGTCCGAAAAATATTGAACATTTTGCTTCGGTAGGGTTAGATTCATTGTCCATCCTTAGGTTTTGTTATTTGAAATTTAGATGGTTGAGTTTTACAAAATTATATTTTTTTCCTTCTGATATCAAATGGTTTTTTATTTGTGAAAATGCTTGTTTTCCTATAAAAAAAATCAATTGTTTTTATATTCAATTAGATTTGTTTTGCCGTTATAGAAAAATTATATATTTGATTTTTATATGGAATTCAATACAATATTATCAAGTTCTGTTCCACACAGTTTCTATCAACTATCAATTCTCCAATTCAACACATAGCTTTTGTCGATAAAATTTCAAAAGTTACTCATGTATGGATTTTATGAAATTGGTAATTTTAAATGTAATTTCCAATGAAATAAGCTTTCACAGGAAAGAGCTTACAAAAAAGGAAATAACCCAACAATTTCTTTTTCAATTCTCGGCCTTTGACACTAACCAAAAAGACAAGAAAAATCCAAAACAACAAAAAAGAAAATGGAAAAGGAAGAAGATGCGGATGGCATGAGACCAGAGACAGCCTTCGAACTCCCAAAAAAAAAAAGAAAAAACCTTATTTCATACCCCCAAATACTCTGGTCTTAATTCATCAGTAAAAAGACCATACAGTTTCCCTCTTCGACACACACAAACCCTAATCAAGAAAAAACATCCATCCTCAATTCCGGTAACCACCCCTTTCTTTCCTCGTTCCCTCCCTCAGTACCTGTAATGAGGCGGCTTGTACGGACCCTCGATGGGGACACTGATGTAATCGGATTGGTCCTTGCTGAGCTTTGTCAGCCTCGCCCCGAGCTTGCCCAGGTGAAGGGCCGCCACCTTCTCGTCCAAGTGTTTCGGAAGGACGTACACCTTCTTCTCGTACTTGCCTGTCGCCTTCTCCTTCCACAGCTCGAGCTGTGCGATCACCTGGTTGGTGAACGAGCAAGACATCACGAAGCTCGGGTGACCAGTGGCGCAGCCCAGGTTCATGAGCCGGCCCTCTGCAAGGACTATGATCCCGGTCTTGGTATCGGGGAAGACCCACCTGTCGGTTTGAGGCTTGATCGTGATGCGTTTCACGCCGGGGAAGGTCTCGAGGCCGTGCATGTCGATCTCGTTGTCGAAGTGACCGATGTTGCAGACGATGGCGTTGTTCTTCATCTTCCTCATGTGGTCGACCATGATGATGTCCTTGTTTCCTGTCGTGGTGACGAAGATGTCGGCCTCGGACACAACGTCCTCGAGGGTTAGAATCTGGAAACCTTCCATGAGAGCCTGGAGGGCACAGATGGGATCGATCTCGGTGACGATGACACGGGCACCGGCAGCCTTCAGGGCCAGAGCACATCCCTTTCCGACATCTCCGTAACCACAGACAACCCCGACCTTTCCGGCGATCATGACGTCGGTTGCCCTCATCAGACCATCGGGGAGAGAGTGGCGGCATCCGTACAAGTTGTCGAACTGCACCAGCGGAAACATACATGAGATAAGTAGTGACAAAGCGTATAAAACACCTAAGTTGACTTGCACAGCACACATTACACAAGGAAAGACATATCTTTTGTTAACCAAGTCCTTGTGTCACTAACAATTTGACAAGTTTCAGCAATTTAGATCCCTACAAACTTGGATCTTGCAAGCTAGTGAATACTTTTCAATCAATGAACTTGCAGATAATTCAAACATGGGAAAGATCCATCAATTTGTTAGTCACTTAGCACAATCTCCTAATGTCGATATGTCTCTTCAATAGATTTGCTTAAGAGCGTCAGATCTAGAGCTCCAATGGGACAGGACTAGATCTGGACCCAAATCTCTGCCGTATGCATCGGATCTGAATTTTTTAATATATGCACAAAACTGGAACGGATCTAAATGACGCAAAAAGGGTAGAGAAATGCAGAGATCGATACCTTGCTCTTGGTGACGGAGTCATTAACGTTAATGGCGGGGAACAAGAGAGTTCCATTGACCTGCATCTGGTAGAGCCTCTTGACACCAGTGGTGGTCTCCTCAGAGACACCCACCAATCTCTCCTTCATCTTGTGGTACTTCTTCGGATCGACCGGAAGGCCGTCCTTGATGATCTGCAACACGATCTGGAACTCAGGGTTGTCGGTGGACGAAGGATCCGGGACCTGACCGGTCTTCTCATAGATCTCCTCGGCCTTAACACCCTCGTGGATCAAGAGAGTGGCGTCACCACCGTCATCGACGATGAGGTCGGGACCACCACCGGGACCCCAATCGAGAGCCCTCTCCGTGCACCACCAGTACTCCTGGAGGGTCTCACCTTTCCAGGCGAAGACGGCGGCGGAGTCACGAGCGATGGCGGCAGCGGCGTGGTCCTGAGTGGAGAAGATGTTGCAGGAGCACCATCTGACCTCGGCTCCGAGAGCGGTCAGGGTTTCGATGAGAACAGCGGTCTGGATCGTCATGTGGAGAGATCCGGTGATCTTCGCACCCTTGAACGGCTGCGACGGTCCGAACTCGGTACGACACGCCATGAGACCAGGCATCTCCACCTCCGCGAGCTCGATCTCGAGACGGCCGAAGTCGGCCTGAGACATGTCCTTGACCTTGTACTCACGACCACTCGACGTCTTCTCAACGAGCAACGCCATTTTTCCCGATCTAAAGCTCTCTCTCCGAGATACTGTCTTCCGATATATATTTGATTTTTATATGGAATTCAATACAATATTATCAAGTTCTGTTCCACACAGTTTCTATCAACTATCAATTCTCCAATTCAACACATAGCTTTTGTCGATAAAATTTCAAAAGTTACTCATGTATGGATTTTATGAAATTGGAGTGAGGGAGTATAAATAGATGAGAGAGAAGAGAGATGGACGGTGGAGATTTTCGGGAGGGTTCGGTGGATCTGGTAAAAGGCTACGATCCCGTAGCCGACGGAGCACGGTGCGCGAACCGTGTGGTTCGCGGTCGGGATGATCTGACGGTCACTATAGATTCAAGCCACGTGGCGAAATCTTATAGGTATTTACTTTTAAAATTCATTTAATTCGTGTTTTATGCGGATAATTAGCAGTCTAACGATAGTTATATTGTATACTATACACTTTTATTCAAATTTTACTTGATTTTAATTTTATTTACAAATTAAATTGTTGCTAACTGTCACATTTTTTCGAAATGAAAAAAGGTGAATCTATTTTTATCATTCAGAGAAATATTTGTGTGTGTGTATATATATATATATCCCATAAAAGCTTGAAAATAGCAAATTTGCTTCCAAACAAAATATATAGATATTTTTGTACATATATTTTTCCTTTTTCAGATCCAACTCACACGACACTTTACATGATATTAAAATTTCTTTTTTTTTTTCCTGAATTTAGAACTGCAGCAATGAAATGTAACAGAAAGACAAATTTTTTTACCTTATCTCTTGTAAGATTATAAAAAATAAATGTTATAGACAATATTAAAGAGAGTTTTCGGAATCGTGTTAGAAAATATAAACATCCATATTCGAGATACAAGAGTTATACATATATACATATATATATATATATATGTATATATATGTCATAATAATAATAAAACAGAAGTTTTTTTTATTCTACTTTTTTAGTAAGGTGCCGGAGCGTCGGTGGATCCAATAATAATAAATTTGGGAAATAACATATAAATATATTGGTGAGATATTTTCTTTTTATACTTTTTTGATAAAATATATATAATATTTGAAAAAGCCGACAGCAAGAAGCATGGTAATGAATGGTGCAGGCTGCAGCGATGTGGCTTTGTGGCAAATGCAGTTGTATATGAATTTGCACATATTATTATTGTATATTTCTTTAATTCTATTTATTAATTATAAACCCCCCAAAAAAAAAACAAATTCATGTCCTCTATTAAGAAATTTACTTTTTAATTGGGATTAAATTTATTCACTTTTACCATCTTCATAAAAAAAAACCATAGCAAAGATTTCAGATAAATAATATGAAAAGATTGTAATAGTGTTACTCTTGATTAAGACACAAGGGTTACGTTCACCACGAACTTCTAAATTATAATATTTTTTGTGGGGAAGATGCTTAGATTACATGAAATAAAATGGAATTAAGTAATATTTGATATTATTCAAATTAAATTAAATTTAATAATAAGATATATTAAAAAAATTATAAAAAAAAAACTGAACCGAATCTTACTGAATTGGCATAATATAGATATAATTTCTTAACATTGAAAAATAATAAATAATCCAATAAAACAGTATATCCATCTCTATTGGAATTGAAAATGGAAAACAGAACAAAACTAAAGAAGATTCATGCACTTTCAATATCATTTATGGGAGGTTTTATATTTTTTTTAACAAACTTTCATCATAATATTTATTAATAAATTCGATTATTAAAGTATGGATTATCAACAAAAAAAAAATTCCTTTGAATCCGAGAATTTATGGTAACATGTCACCAAAAAAAGAAGTACCATGTAACTATGTCGACATTATAAGCAAGGAGTATTTTTTACTTGAAAGAAAAATATCACTTCCCCAATTAAAAATATTTTTTTTTTCTTAAGAAAGAGAATACTTTTCTGTTCGCCACGGTTGGTTGGGCGATGTATTGTTGTGTTTAAATTTGTTATAAATATATTGAATTTTAATTCTATTTTATTTTAAAAGTTACAAAAATATGTTTTGTTATAAATATATTGAATTTTTTATTTACAAATATTAACTTTTTTTATAAAATTTTAAATAAATTTAGTTTGAGATATTATATTTTTCAAATATTAAAATAAAATATTCGTCTAGAATTCAAACAATAGAAATTAGTGGATGGGGAAGCGCCACCATGAAAAATAGTTCCCATCTACCACATGAAAAACAAAATCCAAAAAAACGTGATTATGCTCGCGGGAAAATTATATTAAAGAACATTGACTATAATGTGTAGCATTTTCTTCATTCAAACCAAACAAAAGCTAAATAAAAATCTCAAAATTTTAAAATTGATATAATTAAATCAAAAGAGAGATGATAATAAAGTATTGTTCATAAGAACTTTTTTAGATTTAGATAAACTTATTAACAACAGTTTTGATAAAACTAGTACATATTATCATAATTTATTAGGTTTGAGTTTGATATCGGCAGTTTTTACGTATTCGGGTTTTATTAAGAATATCATCGGATTATATTGTTTTGATAAAATAAAATTTAATAAATATGCTTATAGATATGGGATTCCTTTACAAAAAATCATATTTTTTTGGCTAATTATATAGATAACATCAATTATTATTATAATTAGGGAAATAAAACATGCCAAGTTTGTGGTTTTGGTAAAGAACGCAACAAGTTCACATGTTGACCGCAGATCTCGCAGGACTTGGGACCATGAGATCGGCTTATTGAAAAGACCATATTACCCTCACCTACCCCAAAAGCACAAAAATACCTACTCCCCACATTTATTTATTTTTTTTGTCACGACTAATGTTAGTAACGTAGGCTATAATATTTGTTCCTTTTTAGTTAATTGCTTTAAACAACTTTTTATTACAGACTAAATTTATACAAAAATATTTTTTTAAACATTTGATTTTTATGTGGATAGAATAAAAAAGTATTATACCAAAAGAAATATAGATATTGATATAAAATTAAATTCACATAATTAAAAAGAATAATTCTTTGATTTTATTGATCTGTGTGTTTATTTTTTTAATTCAATTTTAACTAGGAGTGGATAAAAATATCTTAATTTCGGATAAAGGTAAGATATATGAAAATCGGATATTCGTCGAACGGATTTTGATATATCTAAAATCTGAATTTTGGATTCGAATTCGGATTAGTATTTTTGGACCGAATAGTTAATTGTGGATACCTTAATAGTTACTTGCGAATACCTTAATAGTAGAAAAATACCAATATATTTTATAATTTGAGAAAATCTCATATAAATAACTTAACATTATAAAATATTTCAAATAAATATCTAAACTTTTAATTTGTTCAAATTTATATTTCAAATATTAAAATGTTTCAAATTGCTATCTCAACTGTTAAAATATCCAAATAAATACCTCAATTCATAAAATATATGACAATTCTCAACATCAATTTTAACAACGATATCTGAATTATATATTAATTTGTAACAAAAAATGAACTGAAATTGTAAATTGTTCTCGTGGGGATGGGCATTCACCTGGACTTTCCCAATCTTCTGAGAGGTGTAGTCGGACCAAAAAACTGGTAAATTTCTGGATTATTAAAAAAGGAATATTTTAATATTTAAATATCAATTAGATCAAATTACAATTTTAAATATTTATTTGGTATTTTTTACAAAATTGTTATATTTATATGAGATTTTTTTTATAATTATTAAAAAAATAAAAAATTATATATCAATATATAATTGTTTTTTCTTTGTTTAGATAAAAAAATACTATCATTTTATAATCTAGTTATTTTAATGGAAATATTTTTTAATAATTTTATTAATTGTTTGTATGTAATATATCGAATTTTAAAATTTTAATTTAAGATATATCAGATAATAAATTCGGATATCCAAAATTTCAAATTCAAGCTCACATTTTAACATATATAACTTGTCAGGTTCAAATTTAGATATTCTAAAATTCTGTTATCCAACTTGTGCTCACCCTAGTTTTAAAATATAATATTTTTGGTATGATTGTAAATTACATAGATTTAATCTTTCATTAAACATCATATATGGGTGAATATGATTGTGCTTCTATTTGAAGGAAAACAGGGGTTATGATTAACCATTTGCATTCTATAAATTTAATCGTAAAAAACAAAAAATAAACGTTATAATCTCATAGAATATACACCAACTTGTAACAAAAAAAAAAGGACATGTTTTCTTTTGTCTTCACCAACTACGTTTCTCTCATTAGAATGCAATATTATACTGTTTTATTGGTTACAGTCCAAAGTAGGAGAGAATAATCAATTGATAAATTACCAAAACAGCCTCGTTAACTCGAAACACATGAAGGAAAAAAGGGTAAATTCGTCATATACACTGTGTGATTTCCTACCACATACACACACCTAACGAAACAACACCAAGATTAGTGAAAAGGTCAAATCCGTAATTCTAGATCATCCCTCCCCTCGTTTTAAACCCTTCACTCCCCTCATAGATCGCTCACCCGTGTTCATTTCTCTCGCCCGATCTCAGATCTCGTCTCCTCCGATCTTCGATCTCGCTGTCGCCGGAAAATGGATTCCGTCTCTTCCTGGGGAAACACTCCGTTGGTCACCGTGGATCCCGAGATCCATGACCTCATCGAGAAGGAGAAGCGTCGACAATGTCGCGGCATCGAGCTCATCGCCTCCGAGAATTTCACTTCCTTTGCCGTCATCGAGGCTCTCGGAAGCGCCCTCACCAACAAGTACTCCGAGGGCATGCCCGGTAACCGTTACTATGGCGGTAACGAGTTCATCGACGAGATCGAGAATCTCTGCCGCTCCCGCGCGCTTCAGGCTTTCCATCTCGATCCGAGCAAGTGGGGCGTCAATGTTCAGCCGTATTCCGGATCTCCGGCGAACTTCGCCGCCTACACGGCGCTGCTTCAGCCGCACGATCGGATCATGGGGCTCGATCTCCCGTCGGGTGGTCACCTGACTCATGGGTACTACACCTCCGGTGGGAAGAAGATCTCCGCGACCTCGATCTACTTCGAGAGTCTTCCGTACAAGGTGAACTTCACCACTGGGTACATTGATTACGATAAGCTCGAGGAGAAGGCGATGGATTTCAGGCCGAAGCTGCTCATCTGTGGTGGCAGTGCGTACCCTAGGGATTGGGATTACGCAAGGCTTAGGGCTATTGCCGACAAGGTTGGAGCTCTCTTGCTCTGCGACATGGCTCACATCAGTGGCCTTGTTGCCGCTCAGGTGTGATCTCGTTTCTCTCATGGGTATCGATCGTGTTCTTTTTGTAATTGCTTATCTTGTTAGATCTGGGTTTCATTAGCTTTTTTGCATAGTCGACATTGTCAGGATCTGGATTTGTGAAACTCTGCCATTGGTTCTGTTGCATTTATGCGCGTTGGAATTCGCTTTAGCCATAGGTTGCTTTAGATCCTCTCTTCATTTGTGTTCATCATTCTCGAGTCTGGACTGAATTGATATTGGCATGCCCGTATTGTACATGTCAATGATACATAAACTCTTTGTGGGATTTATTGCGTCTTTCTTCCTTGACTCCGTTTTGTCTTTTGCGAATTGTCTGCATACTACTCTTGCACTGATTTGTGTTGTCTGCTATTGGACTTGGATCCTTTGTTTACATGTGAGGCGTGCTACAAGTGGGGAAAAACTATATTAATGTCGTGTTGTCCATGGTTGGAGATGATTAAAATGATTTTTCCTTAGAAAAACTTATTTAGCATGCTCTTCTCTTGTCTGATAGAATGCCCAGGCCGCTCTTGAGATGCGTTCAGTAACTAAGACTGGTTGTTAACAACTTAAGATACATCTTGCAAATCTGAATTCCAAACCACTTTGTCTGCCGTTGAATGGATGGTGTTCTATTCTTTGCTTGCAGGAAGCTGCAAACCCGTTCGAGTACTGTGACGTTGTGACGACCACAACCCACAAGAGCTTGAGGGGTCCAAGAGCCGGTATGATCTTCTACAGGAAGGGCCCTAAACCACCCAAGAAGGGACAGCCCGAGGATGCAGTGTACGATTTCGAGGACAAGATCAACTTTGCTGTGTTCCCTGCTCTTCAGGGTGGTCCTCACAACCACCAGATCGGTGCTCTGGCTGTTGCTTTGAAGCAGGCAATGTCTCCTGGGTTCAAGGCTTATGCCAAACAGGTCAAAGCCAATGCTGTTGCCCTCGCAAACTACCTGATGAGCAAGGGTTACAGTATTGTCACCAATGGAACTGAGAACCACCTTGTTCTCTGGGATCTCCGCCCTCTTGGGTTGACCGGTTAGTGCCCGTTTTCTCAACTGAGCTGTGACATTTTATTTCTGATCGATGTTGTCCTGATGTTTAGTGCCACTGTTCTTGCAGGTAACAAGGTCGAGAAGCTTTGTGACCTATGCAACATTACCTTGAACAAGAATGCTGTTTTCGGAGACAGCAGTGCTCTTGCTCCTGGAGGTGTAAGAATCGGTAAGAGCAAGTTTCGTACATGTCTGGCTGTTGTCATCACACATTGTATTCTCATCACAAGTCGAAAAATGTTATCAAAGTTTGAAACTTTTTTGGGTAATAGGTGCACCGGCCATGACATCGAGAGGTTTGGTCGAGAAGGACTTTGAGCAGATAGGAGAGTTCCTCCACCGAGCAGTGACCATCACATTGAACGTTCAGAAGGAGTTCGGTAAGCTGTTGAAGGACTTCAACAAGGGTTTAGTGAACAACAAGGAGATCGAGGAGCTCAAGGCCGATGTCGAGAAATTCTCAGGCTCGTACGAGATGCCCGGTTTCCTTATGGCCGAGATGAAGTACAAGGATTAAAGATCAATCACTTTCCACAATGGCAACCTTCCTATCACATATGGCTTTAGTAGGTGTTTCCTGAAAGAAACTTGTTCTCCAAACCTCCCATAGGAAGTAAGAGAGAGGAAAAGAAAAAGTATGAGAAAAAAGGGTTTTTTTTTTGGTGTTCTTGTTTTTTCCATGTTTTTTTTGTTCTTCGTTGAGTTTGTTTTATTACATGATTTCAATAATTTTGGCAGCTTTGATCTGTCTCTACCCTTTTTATTGAATTTGTGGTTGCATTTCAATTTAATCATAATGACGTTAGACTTAGACAACATTGTGACACTGCTTATGTTAAAAAAAATTATATAGCTTTGATATAATTTGAATTTTCAATGGCAAGTTCCATTTCATTATTGTATAATTCCTATAACCACCAAGTTGTTTCCAAGTCCCCATATGAATTTTGTAATGGCTCATAAATTAATTTTCGAGTGGGGTCCTCACAGCACTAAACATAACTACGGGGTCATATTAAAATAAATAAATAAATAAAAGCCCCGTGATGTACCTTTTCACTTTGGGGAAATCAAAAGACATCCATCTCCCTCCAAAAATAAAATTTGGGGAAAAAAAGATGGGGAGGTCGTCGTCACGTTGGGGAGACGACGAAGCTTTTACTGATGAACAGCTTCGTGTAATCGACGCCATTGAAGCATCTTACGTCACCCCCTCTGCTTCTCCCTCTCCTTATTCTTCTTGCTCTTCGTCGTCGGGTACGCCAACCGTACGAAAGTCGAACCCCCGCCATGGCCGTGAGAATCCGACTGAGATGCGACGTCAATTACCCCGCTCCATCACTTCTCCTTCCTCTCGTTTCCGGAGATTTCCCTTCTCTCGTTGCCGAGGTATTTGGGCTTCGATTCATCTTTGGGTTTTGATTTCAATTTGAATTTCTTCATGATACTCTGATTTCAACCTTTAGTTTAAGTTCATATTCTTTTTTGTTTCGCTAATAATGGGAAGCATGAATCTGTACAAAACAAGGAATCCATGTTTGTGTAACTTTTGTTCTGATGCCCTTTTGCAGCTGGTTTCGGGAGATTTCCTGCGATGAGGTTTGGTGGGGAAATTTTGTATTCTAAGACTGCATGTGAAGTGGATAAGAATGCAAAGCAGCTCCTCAAGGTTCTTGATTCAAAGAGAATCGAAAATGGCGGAACAGTTATCGGGCTTGATATAGAGTGGAAACCCAGTTTTAAAAGAGGTAACTTTGTTTGTTTAGATTCTTATAATTTGGTCTCCCCCTGGCCTTTGTTTCATCATTGATTTGATATTGTGATGATATCAGAGTCATATTTGCTGATTGTGCTTTGCATATCAGTTGCGAGTTTTGTATGTGATTGCATGTGAATGAACTAAAACACAGTGCAATGCAATAAAATTCAACGGATCATTTCTCAAACATGTGAAGATCGCCGCTATTCTCCGTTGTATCAGAGAAGGCTCTTTGTTGTTCACTGCATAGTAAGCTGGGAAGGAAGTTTGATTGCCACATTCGTCGAGGTTTACTCTTATTATAATTTGCACTGTTAAACGTCTACCGTGCTTGTTCTGTGATTTAGTGATACTAGTAACTTTCTGATCTTTTATGTCCATTGTTTTCATAGATTCTGTATTTGTGATTAAGTTTATCCTCTATGTGGATGGAAAGTTGTCTTCTTTGAGCTATAGAAGTCAGGTTGTTTCGACACATAAGTCGAGGCATGTTCTTCCCTATCAAAAGATCTTAAGGGGGCCATTGTCACGTGAACATTTGATTGCACCCTTAAACTCTTCTGTTGTGTAAGAAGAGTATGTACTTCTTCCTTGCATAAAACCCAGTAATCTAACCTATTGTTCATACATGAAATTATTGTTCATTCAGGTGTTCTACCAGGGAAGGTTGCTGTTATGCAAATATGTGGAGATAATCATTATTGTCATGTTTTGCACATTGTTCATTCCGGTATCCCAGAGAGTCTCAGATGCCTTCTTGAGGATTCAACAATTGTGAAGGTCTGTAAGTTTCTTACGAGAAGTTCTTCTCTGTCTGCATCATGAAGGTTCGATTAACATTGTCTTGATGTGTGTGTAGGTTGGTGTTGGTATTGACGGTGACTCTGTCAAGCTTTTCCATGACTATGGAGTATCTATTATGGGTGTCGAGGATCTTTCAAATCTAGCCAACACAAAACTCGGGGGAGAGATGAAGAAATGGGGCCTCGCTTCACTGACTGAGAGGCTCGTTAGCAAAGAGGTACCCACCTTATCTTTCTGATCTAAGACTAAGGGCTTGATTGGATTCCTCGTAACAATCTTAGATGTTAAACTTCACAAGTGTTGATCATACTGGTCTGAATCAACAATGACTGTGTTACTCTTTGTTGGTGATGCTTTTGGATAATGTTTTGATTACCCATTGTACACTCTCAACCCCATCTTTCATGGCAATGGCTGGATATTGTCCTAATGGGCATGCCAAATTCATGGCCTTGTGATCTCCCTTAGAACACCATTACTCTTCTTTAATTCCTGGTTGGGAAGTTTCTATTCAGGATTTTGTCTCAGAACTCGTGTTCTGTTTCCCGTTTAAGCTCGCAAAAATAAAAAATCTTTTGCAGCTGCTGAAGCCGAACCGTATAAGGCTGGGGAACTGGGAGGTGAATGTTCTATCAAAGGAGCAATTACAATACGCTGCAACAGATGCTTTCGCCTCGTGGCATCTCTACCAGGTAATATCTACGAGCAGTTCTTCTTGAACTCATCCCTATATCCATGCCAATGATCATGAAACTTTGCATGCATTTCACGTAGGTTCTAAAGGGCCTTCCTGATGATGATGATGATAAAAGGTGATGAAAAGGAATGTGATCCATTGATGCAGTCAAGAAGCTCATATCCTTTAATAGATTCTTTTTATTAATGAAGATTTTCAAGAAGCTCTGTTTTCTCCTTCTGTCAACGAGTTCTGTTTCGGAGCATAGTTTCCTCTTTCAATTTTTTTTTTTAATTTTAAAAAAATTATAATCATTCAATTTTATATTGAATTTGGTTCAATTTGGTTTTGGTTTAATTGTTAAAATATTTATTTTTTAAATAAATATCTGATTTTTTAGTTATTTTTTTTCGGTTCATTTTGCTTTTAAGTTTATTGATAAAAAATGTTTATTTTTTCAAATAAATTTTATTTTTTATGGCATTCATTTTCTAATAATCATTCTACTTTTATGGAAAAATGAATTGGAAGGTTAATTTGAAGAACGTGGAGGAATGATTCCATAGGTTGCTAAAACCCCATTGGATTTGACAATTTGATGGAGAGTCCATGTCTTGGCACATGGCCAAGAGACATGCCCCATTCCCACGGCATCATTTTGTCTTTTAATTGAAAAAAAACAAATTTATATCTTTATTCATGGACCATATACACAAAAATAGAAATATGAATATATTTCTCTTGATAATATTTTTAAAAAAATATGATTTTGTATTTTAGTATCTAGATGTAACTCACATTTTCTTATAAATATTCAGAATATTTAAATAAATATTATAATTTATAAAGAAACTAATCAAAATATGATTGTGAACGGAAGTTAAGTGGGTTACAATGCAAAATTTTATTATTATTTCAAACAATGTTTTTGAATATATATATATATATAATCGTGATTTATTTAGATATTAGAGTATAAATTTATGATTTATTAGATGTTTTGATGAATTTTAAATAACTGTGATAGATTTATTTTTTTAATCAAAATTTGGGAACTTTTGAGAAAGTTTTCAACAGATTTAAAAATGGAAATGTAAAAATGGGGGATATATATATATATATATATATATATATATATTAATTGCATCAGCATGGGCCTTGTGTGACGCGGGGCAGTTGCATCGAACCGGTGATATAATAGAACAAGCCCGATGACTAAAGAGTAAAAATACGTTAAAGATCGAATAATTGCGTCCACACCACATGTCGGTCCACATTTCGTTCATAATGACTTACATTATCATTGGCCCGTCCGAATTTATTAAAGATAACGATTTTTTCTTTACAAATATTGATTTTGGTTATAATGAATCCACTTCTAAAGTTGTAATCAATGATCGTTCTAATATTATTTTTTTATAATTCGGAATTTTATCAGGCTTTTGGTCCGACTATATCTTCCCAAAAAACGAAAAAACCTATGTGAATATTCATTTTCAAATGAAGACTCGAATCCGGGATGGAAAGGAACTTTGTTTCCTTCCTCCTTTGGTCATTCTAATATTAGTTGGTTCAACCGGTAAAGATGAGTCAAATTTCTTTTCCAATTCAGATTCAAGTTTCTACTTGGAAAAGAGTATTTATTTGAATTTTTCCGATTCTTTATAAATATAGTTGGGATGAAAATCCGATAAATATTCAAATTTAAAAAAACTACGATATGGATAATTCTACCTATTTTGAATTTAGGGTCATAAATACATACATATAAAATAAAAAATATATTTATGATATATAAATCTATATACAGATTAGATATCCAAAAATCAGATACATAACTAAATTCATCTAAACTAGCTATAGATTCAAGCCAAATTCGACTTAGTTTTACTTCATTCTATTTTAATTGATTAAATGTAAATTTTTTTATCCATGTTAATTAACACAATTAAACACAGATACGTGAAGTGCATATCGATTTTAAAATTATATTGAAACATATAAACAAAAATTAAATACAATGTCATACAATTAAGATTTGAATAATGTCTAGATTTCATTATATCTATTATCTCACATTAATCCTTGGAGTTGGCGTTGCATTGCAAGCAGTAGATATGAATGGACACACATTGTTTTCTTCGTGAGACGTTGGTGTGTTTTAACCTAACAACGTGGAAATAAATGTGAGACTTTGACGGCTTAAAACCAGTGGTCCTCTCCACCATTGGATTCATAATTGGAATTTTCAAATATTATAAAATAAATAAATTGAAGAGGAAAAAAAATGAACCAAAAAATATCTTTCCCTGCCGACAATATATATATATATATAATACATCAATACAAACACATTATATTATATGAAGAAGATTAAAAGAGAAGATGTGGACTTCACACAAAAAAAAAATGCAAATCTCATATTTCTATTGGTCCACAAAACACTGTGGTGAATTGGGATATGTGCTTCTGGCTAAGGTTATTTCTCTTATTATTATTATTATTAAAAATAACATAAAAAATTATTAATTTTCAAAAAGTTTCATATAAAATCATACCATAAACTTTATAAATCCTTTTCCATATTTACTAACTTTTCAAAAAATTTAACTTTCATGTATAATTATAAATTTATAAATTTTGTGAAAATACGATAAGATTAAATAAAGGTCATGGTTTTATATAAAAGACATGATTTTATATAAAAAATAAATAAATATTATGATTTTTTTAGATTATTTTTCTCTTTATTATTATTGGTTTACAACTGTCTGACAATAGAAATCAATTCGCACTTGGCTACCAACTTCCAAGTATAAACAGAGTACGAAGGTATAATAATGCACATATATACCTCTATAAAGGTACTATGCAACTTTAACCTAATTTGGTTTAGGTATTTCAAATTTTTTTAATGTAGAGGGTGCCATTATTTTCTTTTTATTTTTACCCAAAAAAAAATGAATCTACGTTATCGAATCAACTCGAAACTCGAAACTCGAAATAATGTTATTCTAAATCGAAATAATAGAAATTTACCTAATTTGAATAGCGTCGAAACGAAAATACAAAGCGTTTGTTTTATCCCGAATTCGAACCTAGATTAGAAAAATGAACGCAAATTCTACTCATATGACTTGCTTTCAACTCAGGGATTAATATGAACCTCGATCCATGACAACGGATTATAAAAAAAAATAGAAACTTAAAAAATTACTAGCTATAACATTTTTATGGGGTCTTCAGCAAACCCTTTAGGCGAGAAGGAGGCTTTCGAAGCCTAGGTTCGAGACAGAGGGTTTGAGGACGGAGGGGCAATTCGGTCTTTTGGTTTTGTGGTTAATGAAACCCTAAGGTTTCATTCATCGCGTTAGACTGGTTCTTGGCCGTTTGGGTTTTAGGGTTTTCTCTGAGTGTGTGGCGAACGATTTCTTGGTTCTCCGGTGTCGGTGATCGGTTTTTCCGGTGGATTTCCGACTGTTTCTTTCTTGTAACCCTAGTAGAACGCTGATCCTCTTCCCGAGACGTAGGCACCGAGTTCTCTCGGTGCTGAACTCGTATATCTCTGTGTCATCTCCTTTCTGTTCTGTTCTTGAGCGTCGGAGTGATTACGGTGAGGAGTTCGTCGGGCCGATTACTCTACAATTTTCATATTAGCAAAATGGAAAATTATATATAAAAATTACTATGCGGCAGAAGAAACAAAACCCTGAGAATCCATTAGAGATCTAAGTACAAGTAGTAGTAGATGTGGCGGCTGTCAAATTTAATGCCCCATTAATGCTTCCACCTTTTTTTTCTCCTATAATTCTAATTTACTGTATTTTGATTGATATTATTTACCATTTGGAATTTAAATTATTATAAAATATCTAAAAATTTCTGAAATACCATCTATAAAAATTATTTGTTATGGCGTTACACCATCCATCTATATAATAATTTTTCTCTGAAATTTGGATTTTTATTTAGTTTTGTTATCTGATTATTTTGATTTGTGTGTTGTTTTTCTAATTTGTAATTGAATTTATGAGTTACCGATGATGACAGTGAACTCTAATTTTAGATTAATACAATGTATGTATATGCATCTATAGTAAATTATGTTAAAAAAAATTATTTAATTTTACTACTATATATGAATTGTTGTTTGTATTAAGTATGTTTATATATTTTTTTTTATAACTTCAGAGCAAAATAATATATATTATATATTTTAATAAAAATATACGAGATCAAGTTATATAGACGTGTGCTTCAAATGTTTGTATTTTTCGGTTCGGGATAACTCAGACCGGTTTAGGTCAATCTAGGACCGGTTTAGGACAATAGAGTTCGGTTTAGGTCAATTTAGATTGGGATTGGGCCAGTTTAGGTCTGATTAGGGTCTGATTTGTCCAAATAGGGCTGGGTTTGTCTGGTTTAGGGTCTGTATCGATTAGAACAGGTCTAGATTGGTCGGTTTAGGGTCAGGATTGTCTGATTAGGACTTAAATTGGTCGGTTTTAGGTCTGATTGGTTCGATTGGGTTAGATAGAGTCCGGTTCTTAGGGCATTCTGTCTGGTATAGGGTATTTAGGATCTGTATAGGTCGATCTATCCTAGGTAAAGGCAGATTAGATCTGCGGTAAACTTTGGTTACCTGTCTTCAGTCATAGAGTCCGGTAATTCTGTCCGGTTAGGCCTGAATAGGAGGATTTGACTGAACTAGGTGAGTGAGAAGTCGGTATTAGGGTTAAAATCAATAGGTACAGGTCTGTTAGGGTTGATTTTAGGCTAGATTTAGGTCTGATCAGATTTAATTAGGTCAGTTTAGACTTAGTTTAGTTCTGATTAGGTTAATTCAAGTCTGATCAGGGGTAGGTAAGTCAATATTGGGTTGATTTAGGTCTGATTAGGATTTAGGGGGACAGAATAGACTCGGTTTTAGGTCTGATCTAGGTCGGTTAGGTCAGTGTTAGCCTTGGGGTAGGTCTGATTAGACGTAATCAGGTCTTAGGTAGGCAGGTTTAGAGTCTATTAGGTCTGTTAGGTTGAAAAATACCTAGGTTTAGGTCCTCTTAGGATCGGTCTTACTCCTTAGGTCTGGTTTTAGGTGCTCCTAGGGTCGGGTTAGTCATTCCCAGGTTAGTTTCGTTCTGGGTAGGTCTAGTGCATCCTCGGGTTAGAGATTAGGTTTCCTATTAGTGATGTCTGCCCCTCTGTATCGCGGCATTGACGTCGAGAAGTTCGACGGCAAGGGAGAC